TCCAGTCATCTGGGACCTCCCCTGTTAACCATACCACATATACCATTATATGTGGTATCAAGTAACTGAAGAGATGACAGTAGGATGATAGCAAATATATACGAAGAACATGAGCCAGCAGTGTGCCCAGGTGGCCAAGAAGGCCAACAGCGTCCTGGGATCAGGAATAGTGTGGCCAGCAGGAGCAGGGAGGTGATTGTCCCCCTGTACTCGGCGCTGGTGAGGCTGCACCTGGAATACTGTGTCCAGTTTTGGGCCCCTCAATACAAGAAAGACATTGAGGTGCTGGAGCGTGTTCAGAGAAAGGCAATGAAGCTGGTGAAGGGTCTGGAGCACAGGCCTTATGAGGAGCGGCTGAGGGAACTGGGGTTGTTTAGTCTGGAGAAGAGGAGGCTGAGGGGAGACCTTATTGCTCTCTACAACTACCTGAAAGGAGGTTGTAGTGAGGTGGGTGTTGGTCTCTTCTCCCAAGTAGTTAGCGATAGAACAAGAGGAAATGGTCTCAAGCTGCACCAGGGGAGGTTTAGATTGGATATTAGGAAAAATTTCTTCATGGAAAGGGTAGTCAAGCATTGGAACAAGCTCCCCAGAGAGGTGGTGGAGTCACCATCCCTGGAGGTGTTCAAAAAACAGGTAGACGTGGCACATTATGACATGGTTTAGTGGGCATGGTGGTGTTGGGTTGATGATTGGAATGATGAACTTGGAGGTCCTTTCCAATCTTAATGATTCCTAGACTTTCTTTATAAATGATCAAGCCACCAAGCCAGGAGGCGTGGGGTTGCTACTCTACCCTTAACTGGTTTAGTGGTGGACTTGGCAGTGTTAAGTTAATGGTTGGACTGGATGATCTTAAAGGTCTTTTCCAACCTAAACAATTCTATTCTATGATTCTATGAACTGCATGTCTGCTCAGAGACACGGCCTCAAAAGCCAACTAGTGTTATAAAAGAAAAGGCTTTAACTGATTTCAGAAAAGGAGAAGAGAAGCTATTTGTATATAGGAATTAAAGGCTTCTGAATTCTGGATAAAACTGAATATTGTAAAAAGAAAATATCTTTACAACCTAATATTAAAGCCACCATTCAATACTTCCAAAGGGGGAAGGAAACCCAAGCTTCAACCTCAGTAAGTCTTCCATTAAGCCAGAACCTTTAACAGTAAGTTTGACTACTCTGTACTTCTAAGGGATGGAGCGTATGAATCTGATCTTCCATGATGCCAATCTAGAACCTGGCAAAGCTTCTTATAAGGAAGTAGGATCAAGCAGTTCTCAGACATATCAAACCTGCATTTCTGATGGGTCAGTGTATAGTGTTGCCAGGGCAAAAGAGCATCCCTGATCTTCCTCCTTATCTAACTTTATTACTAAAAACAGGAAGACAAAAGCTCAAGAACTCTTGGCTGAAATAAAAGGGTATTTTTTGTTTTAATTTAAAAATGTGCTGTATATAGAACATGGCAATGCTTTAATTAAATAACTGCTGCAGTTAGGAGTCTCCAGTGCTACAGCTACCCCTTGGAAGCTTTTATGAAGCATTTCTGTTCACTCCTAATAGCTTTTCAGGCTAATTTCTCTCCCCTCCTTCTGCCACCTCCCACCCAGCAACTCCAGTAGCTGAAACAATCATCAGAAAAATTACACTAAAATAGATATGACCTACTCTGCTGAAGTCTGGATTTATGCTTTTTCAGACCAAATCTTAGGCAACTTTGGATTTGTAAGCATGTGTGTTTCTCTACTTACAGCACTACTCTGACATGGCTGTGCAACTATGTGTTCCAGCAACAAGCCCATTTTTTAGCAGGAAAATCTAAACTGATTACTGGTCATATTAATTTTGCAAAAGTTTACAGAGCTCCTTGGGCAAATACTACAATCTCCAGCAAAAAGTGAAACAGTAACGGTATTCTTAGATTCACACTGAGGTGAGCTGTCACAGATTCCTCCATATACATAGCGCTACAAAGTTTAACAGAAATAAGTCTGAAAGGCTAAATCTCACACCAACTTGGTAAGAGAAGCATAATGAACCCAGTTACAGCCAGGTTAGAGTAGAGGTTTCTCTTCCATAGAAATAGAGGTACCTAAAAATTTTCCGTATGTGTCTTATTTTAATTCTTCCCAATTACCTTACAAGACTGTCCTTCATATTCATCTACTTTTTAACTCTTACAACCTTTCCTGTCTAGACTCCTAAGCATCTAGTCTTTCTCCCAATGTTTTTCAGTTCCTACCTGCTACATCTGATTTAGAACACCTTGAGCAACCTTTTCCTCCTCTTTTCTTCCCAATTGCTCCAACTACTGTAGAGCACAGAAGAAGCAAGGTCTCTGTTCTCAGTCCAATGCCTGCTCCATAACCCACCCCTCTCCCCAACAACAGGCAAGACCTCGTTGTCTACAATATGTAGCAGTCATTGATCAGTTATAAACAAGAAGCACCAGAAAAATATACTTAAGAAACAATGCTAAGGATTAGAAGCAGTGAGAACTGGTTTGTATTACCTTTGAGAAAATTATAAAATCCTGTTTCAAGACAGAAACTTAGTACTCGAAGCTCTGACAAAAGAGAGAGAATTTATAAAAATGCATCATTTGCATGCAGCAGCACTCCACTTTACCTGGATGTACAGAAGAGCTTGCTTTTAGCCTGGGAATAAACTATACCAGCAATCCGATAAAGCTGTTCTTGCATCCATCGAACATCAGCAGGCATGTCAGGAAACCAGTTTACTAGCCTACAATCAAAACACAATTGTTTTGTAAGCAGTAGATCTAATCCGCATTTATTTTTACATACCATGTCCAACATCCAACAAAATAACACAGTTTTCATTCTCCCCAAGTTAACTCCCTCACCAAGGTCTCCAGTTCTTCCCAACCTGCCTGAGTTCCCATCTAGCCCACTCATCTCTTTTCTACAAGCTAAGAAAAAGGGCAGCACAGACCACTGCATCTCCGATCTATGCCAAGTGGCTGACCAGTATGTGCATTCCACATTCTGTGACCAACATTTAGGAAGCCTGCAAAATACTCCTGTCTCCAAGCCCTCTTTCTGTCTGGTAGGAACTTTCTGGTCTGTTTAAAGGTAGGTGGAAGAAGAAGGAAGAGGACAAGAAAAGCACAATGGAAGAACAAATAGAAGACAGAAACATAACAATATCACAAATGTGTATTTTTCCTTATGACACTCTTTACAGAAGTCAGTTACACTGGAGGGGGGAAAAAAAACACATAAAAATTCTGTTTAAACTTGCTTCCTCCCCGTCCATCAAAAAATGGCACAGAAGTGGCACAGAAACAAAATATTTTACTGGAGTTCTATGTGGTTCCATTTACAGAACATTTGATTTTTCAAGTATTTTCTAAAGATAGTAATGACATCTGCTGCTCAAGGGCTGGAATTCTCTTAAGCAAGAACAAGGCTTAGGGTTCACAGTGCATTCATTTAGCACAATTTCTCCTTTATGAGAATTGAAAACCTTACAAAATTAAGCCCTGTTTCAAGAGCACAGCTTTCAGTCCACCTAAACAAACCTGGTAAGAAAATTTATATGGTGAGTAAACACTGGATTTCACTCCTGACTTCAGAAAGAAGCTAAAGCACAAGAACTCTCTGGATAGAGTTCAAGTATCACTGTAGAATATAGTAATAAAGACTGTGCTCCTGGAAAACACAATTAAGGGTGCTTCTTTTGAGCACTTACGAGACAGCTACTAGTAATAAGAGTAAATTGTTTAGGAATCTTAATATGTTCATTTATCTAGCCTTAGACTATAGAGGCTTTAGGAGGACGCATTATGTAGGTAGAAATAATGGTCTTTGGACAGTTACCACTTGAATTCTAGAGTACCAGAATGCATACAACACTGAATAAGCTCTCAATGAGTAAATTTCCAAAATGGTTAATTAAAAGTTCTTTACCGTAAAGCAACAGAGTAAGCAGATTCCACTGGTAGTGTATATGGTAGCATCAGATAGGATATCACCCGCATTGGGAACAGTTTAGAGAACTGAGCATAGAATCCATTCTGTTCTTTACAAGCTTCCTGCAGTGCTTAAGAATTATTTGGTTTGAAAAAGATGTTAGACTATTTGAAAACAGTTTAAATAATTTGCTTAAAGTTTGGTAATCTTCAGTCAACATTATCAAGTGTTACTGAATAAGGCTCAGATAGAAAATAAAAGAATTAATCTCAAGGGACTCTTACCATAAACCTTCTCTATGCTACTTTAAAATATGGGAAACACAGAATCATACCACAGGGGCAAAAGACATTACGTTAAGCAATAAAAGTTCACCTCTCCAAAAACACTTATGTATTTTAGACAGCATTCCTGTCTTGTTAGAGACTTGATAAGGAGTTTGTTTAAATTCTAGACTTCCACATATTCTAGTTGTTACATATAGTTGTAAGATACCTCACACTTCAAATCTTTCCTAGGTCATAGGGTTCAGACCTTGAAAATACTGATCAGCACCTACAAAGAAACCTAGGTAAAAGTTACAGACTAAAGAAATATCAGAAGTGGATTTGGTCTATTAACAGCTTATTAAAAAGACAGGAAAACCAGAGAATTAGAAATCTACAGAAGTCTGTTTTAAAAATAAGATGGGGATAACCAGTGTTTGGATTTGATGTTCCACTTTGCTGTGAAATATATGCTTACAAAAATACTGTGCACATACAAAGTTTATCCAAAACCAAATGAGAATTCAATTCACACCTCTGCAGTGTTGAAAGTAGCTCCTTCCTCCTGCTTGAATCTTATTTCTGAAGCTAAATCAAAATGTACATGTTCACATTTAATAAGTAGTTAAAGAACTTTTTTGGGCTGAGCTAGTCTCTAACATCACAGGCAGTTATAAGATTAAATAAAAAGCATCTTATTCAAATTATAAGAGTAAGCAGGGCAGGGGGGGGATGTGTGGAATCAAAGCTTGCCACTCAAAGTTACAGGAAACAGTCTGAAGCATGTACCTTTACGAAGTCTAGGAGGCAGACTCTCAAATATGCTCTTCTCCAAAGGCCATGGATTTTGCTTCAGCTGGTCATTAAGTACTTCCATTTTCAAAGCTTCTACTCTGTTATTTTCTGTCAATTTTTTTTTCTTCATATGGTCAATGTGTTGTGCAGCCTCATGAGGGTTTCTTTTTGTGAAGGACAAGTGGATATAAATTGAGTCATTCAGAATACCTGAAAGAGTCAAGAGCTTCCACTTAGGCTTGATCCACAGGTCTTCAGACTACCTGTACAGTACCTGTAGTCTGTGTATCTGTACAAAGGCCTGTCCTGAGAGAACATTATCTACCCAATGTCAAATACACTGTTCTTATAATCCCACAAATGTTTAATCACAACCGATGAATACTCTTTTGCAGGTTTAGGTCTTACTTTAAAACAGGTTCTAAAGAAAAGGAAAAAAAATGAACAATTAACTGAAACCACACTGGAAACATACAGTCATTTACCGAAGTTGTCTTCCAGCAAGAAAGCAAATGATTTAAAGGAGAGGAGGGAAACTGATTTAATATTTATTTGAAAAAAACACCTAAAATGTGTCAGACATTTGGGAAATTTGACATTGCAGGTATCACAAGTACTTGGAAGCATTGCTACAACAAGGTGGAGAAGGGAAGCAAGTAGGGTACAATATTGTTTTAAGATATATCCAAAGTACAGATATAAATCCACATAGGTTGCCTTGCAAAACTGGTGCAAATTAAGAAATAGCATTGATAATTACCTTAGAGAAAAGCACTAGGTAATGAATACAAAGTGAGAAATACAAGAAGGGTTTTTATACTCGGCTTCCAGAAAATTGTTAGAAGACTACCAAATCTGACTAGGATCCATACCTACATACAATAGAATCTGTATCCTACTTACAATTACTCCTAAAAGACAAATGTCAAAAGAACGTACAGTGAATTTAGCAAAAGAGTTATCTGAAGTGTTACAGACGGGGGGAGGGGGGGGATGGGATTAACTCCTACAGTTGAAATAACTTAACAAGAAAGGAGATGCATAATGAATGAGTTTGGAAGGGTTATAATTATCACTGATCAAGCTTGAAGCAAGACAAACCTGTGACAGAATAAGAACAAAGGTGGTAACAGGATCAGTAGTGTGAAAAGGAGGGCAACAGTGCAATACACAGAGGATGTGGGGGAAAGACACCAAGGAAGAGCTGCAAGGAATCTCAGACATTAGTGTCAGATGGAAACATGCACACAGGAAACTTGTGGGTGCAGTACAGCAACGGAAACCATCTTAGCACAGGCAACCACAAGTTATAGGCTCTTTGTATAGCTTGTGCTTTTAATCACCTGGTAAAAGGTATAAAGCAGGACTCTCTCATTAAATATTTAATAATATTACTAGAAGAATCAAACTCTTAAGCAGAACTATGACATTCTTTAACAGTGAAGAAAATTGTTCCAAGAAAATTTGAATATCTAATGTTTAGTTATAAGAGTATAAGCAGTGAGCACATCAGCCTATGACTGTATTACAGTACTGCAGCTGGTACTATCTGTAACAGCGCAAACATCACATTTCAGTTTTCATTCCTCTAATCTGACCCAGTACCAATTTGCTTCTGCATCCAAAGACTCCAGGAGCTAGGCATATTTAACACATGGTTAACTTCATGCTAATATCAAGTTACTGTCTTTAACTTGTTTGTCTCAAAGTGTGCAGAGCAGTAACATTTGTTAATATAAAATATGTTACTAGAATTCTAGGAGTAGAGCAGAGCAACTTTCAATTCTTCTTCCTAAACTTATCGGGTTCCAACAACTACTATGTTACAAGTCATCGTCTTCTAAAGTCTTTCATGATACAGACTAAGGATTTGTCTGTGACTGAGTTTATATTATTGTTAACCAACTCCCAGTTCTGGACTATAAGACTTTACCTAGAAATTCACTTGGATGACAGCAGAGAGGAGGTGATAAGAAGATACACGAGTGGGAGACAATAGCCTATTCCTATCCTTCACAATTAACACAAAAGAAACTAATAATATGATTTTCCTAGAATTGGAATTCTTTGGCAATTTCACTTAACAATATCTTAACATTCACTTCACACAAATTTGACAAAAACCCAAAAGTTCCATTTCTGTGTGGCAGCACAACTTACCTCAGGTGAATAGTTACTACAACTATGTGATCTGTACAAGAACTAAACTTATCACGATGCCTTCAAAAACCTCAAAGACCTAGCCCCTTCTGAGCTACATACAAGCCCCTCACCCTTTTTTTTTATTCTTTAACTCAGGTTAAGACCACATCATCAGTAATTATCCACAAGTGTAACATACCATTCTCTTTCAAGAATTTAAGTGCATCTGAATATCCTTGCTCACAGATCTCTCCTAGTACCTGCAAGCATAGGATAAATGAGTCAGACAAATAAAAGGAGATTCAACTTAAGATCAACAGTTTGCAGAATGAAAAGCCACTTCCATCCACCCTCCATTCTTGTAAGAAAAATTTACATTAGCAATTGCTATAATTCAACATTCAGGTTAATTGTGCCTACTGTGATGATGCATACGTGATCATGTGTACATAAACTTATCTTTCAGCTATTACAGATGCACTGAATTATTCACCTAAAAGGACAGCGTTCTAACAGTTTGCAAGAATTTCCTCCCCTTTTGTTTCTTTGACTAGCCCTTCAGCAGATGCAAGCAACAATGAGACAGGGTGGCTTGGAGTATGCCAATTCCACTCCTTCCCTCCCAGTGCTTCCCACTTCCCAAAACTATGAAAAGTCAGCTGTGCAATTCTCATGCTCAAACTCAGACTTAGTCTTCCATAAGAAAACATCTTTCACCAGATGCAACACCAGCTCACCTCACCTACACAGTAGTCCTAGAAAAAAAAAAAAAAAAAAAATTAAAGCCTACATAATTAGAATTTAACATTTTTCTTCAAGTGGTCAAAAAGCCGTAATTTAAAAAAATATATCTACACAGGAACATTACTTCTCTGTAGTATATCCCAAGCCAATTGGCAAAGTGCCTTTTCATTTTTTCAGCTTCCACAACAGCAATTCAAGTGCATGTCCCTTATCAGATCTGCAATTAACAGCTCTTAGCAAAGAGTAAAGGCAACTTGCCTGCGTGAAGTATTACTTGAGAACTTTACAAAACCATGAAGCTTTAGAACTTCTAAGTTCTGAAGTACCTGGTTAGCAGGTAAACATGAAAGGACTACAAACTGACAGTTATAAATTTACCAATGTTGATTTTATGATAGAATCCTGTGCTAATTCCCAAATAAATACTGAAAGCCAATAGCAGGACATGCATTTTTAGCCTGAGAGAGACTAAAAATAAGGAGAATTAAGACAAACTATGAAAAAAACAGAAACGAGAAGATAAATGTCACCAGAAAAGTTTATACGACCAGATGAAATGCTGAGATTACTGTAGCTTTCTGCAAAAGCGAGGCTTTTATATGGAAAGATGGTTTAGTCACTACATGTGGGCAGTGATTTACCTTAGGTTCTGGTGGAAAGAGCGCTTGTGTTAAACGATAAAGGTTCCCCAAACTGAGCTGAATGCTGGTGTTGGTCACATTCATTTCATGAAAGTTGGCAGAATTCCCCTTTGGGCAGATATCACACTCCCCAGCGAAAGGTGAAACTGTGATGGTATTCTTAGATTCATAGTGAGGTAAGTTGTCACTGATTCCTCCATCCACATAGCGCTACAAAAATTAACAGAAATGAGAAGTCTCAAAGGCTGAAAATTTCTAACTAGCGGATTTCCCATGCAAGAATTAATAGCATTTAAGACTGTAACAGAACAGTCTCTGCCCAGGCTCCTGGGCTAAACATTTTGAGAAGCATGTTTTGTCCTCTAATGCCAATTAAAAAACATTGCAACATACTCTTCTAGAGCAGTCTGCTCCTACCTATCAGCTTTCTTGGACACTCTTTAGACCCAGCAGCACGCAGCTACTGGCAAACCTCCTGTAGGTGTATAACACAATCACTAAAGCACACGTGCAATCACCAAGTCCTTTGTAGAAGTATTAAGTACGATAGAACAGGTTTGGCAAAGGAGGAGCCATAGCATGCAGCCTTCTCATGAAATTATTAGAAGGTTGAAGTAAGCATTTAAGTAACTGTTCTACAGAGGTAAATGGTTTTAATTATTTGGAGTTTCTGCCTATCTCTTCTCCTTAGTAATTTTTTAATCTACAACTACTACTGTGTTTGAAAGGGGTAGAAAAAACCCGAACAAAACCCACTACACCCAAAAGCTTCACAACTGGCAGTTAGATATACCTATTGAAAGTTATCCTTAAGTCTTTGTTTTAAAGTATACATGCATGAAGCACCAAGCCAGTAAAGAGCAAGATGCTACAAAGTTTACATACTTGACATTCTGCTGCACTTAAGCCCTGCAGGAGTCATGCCAAGCATATGCAACTGTGGGATTCATACCAAGTTACATCGAAAATGCCTCCTAAGCATTAAAATCATATCAAAATAATTGCAAAGATCAAAAGGATACAATGATTCCTTCCTTCTCTTTTCCCTCATTTGGTCCTATTGATCAAATAAAGCATCACTTGTATGTTTTTGTACTCTGAACTAAGCCTTTTAAAATAACATTGTTGTCTGGTGACAAGAACTGAATAGCCAGATTAGCCTGGATCCACCTAAACCTTGGATTCAGTCCAACATCCTGTTTTCATAACACCTTTAATCTGGAAGAGTTTAAGGAGACATACAAGGTTTAGAAGTACAGATAAAGAAAAATCCCTATACAGTTCTAATCACTTTTGCTTAAATTTTGGCATGAAGAAGAAAATACATTTTATGTCTATCCTTGACTTTTTAGCACTTCCAAATTGCCTTGAGAACAGTCTGTAATCAACCACTGTTAGATGTTTTGAGTTTTCTTTCAATATTCTTCCCCTCTTCTCGTGTAAGGAGCAAAGTTGGAAGGAAAGCAAATGCAAGTTAATACAACATTATAACAAAAAGCCATGAACGTTACCGTCTTGATTTGAAATGCATGCCTGCTTCCAGACCTGTTAATCAAAACACCTACAACAAACTATAATAACTTTTCTGCAGTTGTTGCCCCTTTAATGCAGGATTTTAGAAAAGCCAGTATAGCCACAAAGTATTAAGAGGTTTTGTAACCAACAGTTCCCGTGAAGAAGTAGAACGGACTAATATACTGAGCCTTTACCTTTAAAAAAGCAACCTTTCTTACACTGAATACACATGACAGAAAATATTAAAAAGCTTTGTTTGTATCTAATTGAACACGGAACTTTAATCCAGTTTTAAGGCAGATCTACCTACAGCAAGAAGACAAAGATATACAATAAACTATCATACAAGATTATTTTTTTTAAACCAAGTGTAAGTGACCCTTCCTATAAATTTGTGCAGGTAAATTAGCATCACTTTCTTCAATAAATATTTATCTTTAAGTTAAGTAATTGCTAGCTTACAATACCCTCTTAATTACTGCATCAGCAAGCAAGAAATCTAAGAGTAAGAGAGCGAGCATGTGTGTATTCTGCAAGGTGAAATAGAAACAGACGTAACAGATCTTCCACAAATTTAGTGTTTTCTTGCTTTTTTGAAAAGTTGTAACATACAGCTACAGTTCTAGAAGCTATCATGAAGGTATTTATTTTACAGCAGGACAGCCAAAAAAACATATACATTATCTCTTAATATTTTCAGAATAGCTAGAACTATTTTTAGATCTTAATAATGGAGACTTACCACACCTCTAAATGACGGTGGAATTAGGCCACAATAAATAGGGACAAATGAACTACAGATTAAAGCCTGTAGGAAAATGAGACCATATAAATTAAATGGTAACTATTTTATCATTGAAATTATCATTTAGCTTATCAAGCATTATTTTAACAGGATGAGGGTATTCCACAGTTCTTTTTTAGAATGTTACCACACTCCATCTAAAAAAAGACTAACTAAAAGACCATTTCTGGGAACACTAGTTAGCAAGGAAAAGTTTATGAACATTCGCTCAAGCTGTGCGTTTTCTGAGTAACCAAAGTAGCTAACTGGGGACACAAATATCAACATTCTGGGATCATATTAAACTAGCTTTGTAACTGATAAGAATGACCTTAAAAAAATTCTTATTCATGAAGGATGTAGTTTCATCAGATACACTACATTTTAAAGGCACTTACCCTTTTAAGATTGATCCCTCACACCTACTCAATAAAACAGTTCGCAGATACATTGACTGGGAAAACTAGTACATGAATTTAGTGTAATGAAGCTTGAGTTCATCTACAAAATACTGTCAAAGTCACAGTATCCTAAAATGTTTAAAATGGAAATCCAATGGACAATGTTAAATGGACTCAAGATTGCAGAAACTTTATAAAGTTGTCAAAAATAAACATACCTGGACAACTTCTTCTTTAGAGTTAAAATTAGATATTAATGCATTTTTACCATCTGATACTCTGGTTAGCGAAATACACAGTCTGCCTGATGACAACTGGTGAGTGTTTTCTGGAAGATTTCTCATCAGTCCATCTCTTAATATCTTCATCACATTAAAGGAAGGATGAAGAGGACCAAGATTTCGCTTTCTAGCTTCTTTGGCTAATGCCAGAACATCTGCACAAGCTTGAGCTGAAAATGAAATGCATTTAATTTAAGAACAGAAGATATGTCAAAAACCAAAAAACACACCTCCAGTAATAAAGCATGTCTAGAGCTCCAACTTTTCTCTCCAATTGCTAGCATGAAAATTCAAGAGCTTTTTAAGAGATAAAATAACTGTTCACTAATGTTTAACAGAGTTTAGGAGTCTTCTGAGGAAAAAAAAAAAAAAAAGTCACTTTAGACTTTCAAATAGAACTCTGGGTGAAGAAAAAAAAAAAAAAAAAAAAGTCACTTTAGACTTTCAAATAGACCTCGGGGTGAAGCCCCAGCCACTAAGTTACTTATATGTTGTTTATATATAGACTGTAGGTGTAAAATACCCATATAAGCGGCTTCCATTAGGAATTATTCATTCCAGAAACACATTATTTAAGAAAAAAAAACCAAAGATGATTGACCTTCTGTAAGCATGTATGCATGGACATATTCCATATGCAACATCCATAAAAACCTACAGCATATGATGCACAGATTTAAGCTCCACAGTATGTCTGCTGAAGAAGCAGAGCATCTGGGTTCATCACAGCTAGTAACACTTGCTGGACTTTAAACAAACTTAAGGTTCCTGGGCACCATCTTCATTTATATACAAACACAATAAAGGGAACATTACATGTGAACTTATGATAAGGAATGTCAGGAGGGAAGTTTTTAAAGCAGCAGGTAAGGAATGTGGAGGGGATCTGTAACACCTCTCACACAGGTCTCTACCTAAGTAGGTGCATTTTCACCAAAATTCACCACAGAGTAATTTTTTCTCCAATTAAATCAGCATTTAGGAGCTAGATCAAACCACTACAGAAGACACAACTGTTCCCAAAGAACACTAAAATCATTTTAACAACCACACACCTAGTCATAGTAGGAACAGCAGCTCATCCACCTGCAATGTTTTGTTTGAATTTTTAGTGTCATGTTTCTCCAGGGCATACTTTGAGGAAATTGCCTGATAAGCTCGTCAACTTGGTAGAGGAAAGGGGGTGGGGAGGAAGGTCAAAGTAACAGGTTATTAACCTGAGTGATAGGCTACAAGGTTATCTAAAAATATTTTTAGAACTTGCATATTTTAACTTACATAGACTCCTTCTAGAATAGGTGGGCTTCGACTTACCAAGTTAAATGCGAGCACTGCACTGGAAACAACACTACCTAAGCCTTTGAGTTCAGATTAATTTCCAAAAATATTATCTTCCTAGAGTGTTATCTTTTCCTCCTCAGATAGCAATACCTAAACCTTTCTCATTCTTAACACAGTAAACCAAGAGTCTATGTTCAAAAGAGTATCTCTCAAAAAATCTGAGGTATCAGACATACTCCATTTTTACCACTACAATTTTTTTCATTCCACCCTTGCAGAGTGAAGCCTTGGGCCATGAATCCACCAATACCAGTAGCCTGACCCCACCTCCCACTGCAGAAGCCAGCAAACAATTTAGACACAGCTCACTTTTCATGGTCAAATATAAGCTTATGTTAGTAAAACACATTTTACATGCAATTAAAAAAATGGCACAAGTCACACTCTGGCAAGTGAAGAACTTATTTCCGGAAGCAGTTATGTAGACAGTTTTAGCAGTTCTATTTTTCACACACTCAGATGTAAATTACCACCTCCTTTTTTTTTTTTTTTTTTTAATAAACTAATTTAGCAATGTTCAATCTTCTAAGCTTTCTAAAGAGAGAAATTGGGCATGTTGCAGGAGTCTGAGATATTGAACTACCAGAACCCTGTCCAGGTTAGTGCAGTCTTAGTGCATGCATTAATTTCCTTTTGCAAAATAAGTGAATTTTTGAAAACTTATGCACCAAGCAAATGAATAGCTTGTTCTAAAAAACAGACCAAGAGCACTGGGTGCATGGATACATGAGCAAACAAATACACACGCTCTCACTTCTCTGCCAGGTCTCAATGCTGTTTTTCTAGCTAGCATCCTGTCAAATTGAAGCTCAAGCTATTACTTAAGTTTGAAGCATGGCAACATCTTCACTCATTTGCACTGCAGGCCTGTTTCTGCAGAAAAAATAAAGTAAGCCAGTGCCCTCTACTAACCTTGTGTTGTGATTATTTACCTCTCACCCTAAAAAATGTCAGGCAAGTATCAGCTCACTTTACAAACGCCATTAAAGGGCTGCAAAACTGATGACCTCTAACACTTTAGATTTGAACTCTTATTTCAACTTCCTTTCAAAAAATAACTACCCATCAAAATGCAATTTGATTTCAGTTTACCCATCTCTTCCACATACAAGAATGTCTACATTTGAGGTAGTCTAGAAGGAAAAAAAAAAAAAAAAGAAAAAAATCAAGTTTACATATTTTGTTACTGTAATCTATTTTAAATATGAGAAGCGCTCCTAAGCAAAAAAGAGTATGTTGTGTCTACCTGAGGGTATGTGATATTAAAACACTGAAAACTTAAAAAGCTGTTCATTATTAATTCAACAACTTCAATGTATTCCAGCTTCTTTTCCTTCTCCCTTCTTTCCTCAACAGGACTAAAATACAGTTACCTCTTAGGCTAGTGTATTGCAAAATGGAATCATCTCAGGAAGTGGCAGAGGGGTAGAACTGAAGTCAGACTGGGATTTTAGTCAGACCTTGGTACATCTGTTTTATGTTTTTGAAATGCAAGGGAGCTAAAGAAATTAGTGTTCCTATTAAATGTGAACTGTTTCTAGTTATATTTCTATACTCCTAGTTATATTTTTATATTCCTATTTTTAATGGTTGTTGTGGTTTAATCCAGCAGGCAGCTAAACGCCACACAGCCGTTCGCACACTCCCCCCTCAGTGGGCTGAGGGAGAGAATCGGGAAAAAAGGTAAAACTTGTGGGTTGAGATAAAGACAATCTAATAGGACAGAAAAGGAAGGGAAAATAATAATGATAAAGAATATACAAAGCAAATGATGCACAATGCAACTGCTCACCATCCACTGACCAATGCCCAGCCAGTTCCCGAGCAGCCACCGTGCTCCCCTGGCCAACGCCCCCTAGGTTTTTTTTGTTCAGCATGACATCATATGGTTGCAATATCCCTCTGGCCAGTTTGGGTCAGCTGTCCTGGCTGTGCCCCCTCCCAGGTTCTTGTGCACCTCCAGCTTCCTCGCTGGCAGGGCAGTATGAGAAGCTGGGAAGTCCCTGACTTAGTGTAAGCACTGCTCAGCAACAACTAAAACATCAGTGTGTTATCAACATGATTCTCATACTAAATCCAAAGCACAGCACTATGCCAGCTACTAGGAAGAAAATTAACTCTCTCCCAGCCAAAACCAGGACAACGGTTAAATAACTATTAATTCGTTTCCCACACAGTAAAACCTGACATTGTATTTACAGCCCCCACCAAATCTGTTCTTGTTAGTGCCCCACTAGAATGGATGACCACACCGGCACCAAAATACCAGATCTCCAAGACATCCATGGGGAAGATCTAACACGAGGAGTGCACCTTAACAGTTCAGTTCGGAATAGCCTGGAATGCACTTCATCCTCAAAAGAAGTCACCTCTAAGCTTCTCCCTCTACCTTCCCCCAAATTCAAAGAAGGAAACTTCTTTCTCAGCCTGGAAAAGGACACTTCCCCCCGCCACCACCACCCTTCAATGGCTAATGTTTACATTTACCCAGGCTTGAAATTCTACAGGCTCAGTCTGCCAATCCAACAGGTAACATGAAGCACAAAGAAAACCCTTTATTTAAAATATCTGGCTACAAACCTGTAAGAGATTAAATATGCATGTCAATTTTATTCAAAAACCCCATTCGTATACATACATACACACTCAGAGCTTTACATGCACCAACAAGCATACTAATTGAGGTCTGAGTCCAGTCAAGTCTTGAACACCTCCAAGGATGGAGGTCCCACAACCTCTCTGGGCACCTGTTCCCCCCATGGTAATTTTTTTTTCCTTATACCTAATCAGAATTTGCCATGTTTCAGCTTGTGTCTGCTGCCTCTCATCCTTCCACTACCCACCTCTGAGAAGAGTCTGGCTCCATCTTCCCACAGTGAAATGCAACTGTGAAAACACATGGAACTTACAACCACAACTGCAGAAATAATAAATACTGCATAGTAAAGTACATAAACGTAAGGGAGGTGTACAATACGAACTAATGAAATATACCAAATTATTATACCACATAGTGTTTCTTTAGAGCTTATTTACAATCCTCTGCTTTCACACAAACTCACAAAAAATTAACAGGTAAAAAGATATAGAATTAACATAGGAACACCTTCTTCGTTTGATGAATTTACAGTGATTCACAGATTTTAGAATGTGGCTGGTTTTGAATTGTCTTCCAACATTCCCAAGGGGCTTTTCTTTTTTTTTAAAAAAAAAAGTTTCCAGAAGAAATACACTTGCCTGTGAAATACAATACCTTGGGCAATGATCACACACATACTAGCTATTCTATTAGATAGAGAAAAACAAAAATATCAGTTGGCATATGAGAAGGGAAAGACAAAGGAATAATTTGAAGTCTGCAAGTCTCAGTTATTAAAATGCTAAAAATTTTAAAAGCTGTTAATAACATACTTTCAGGTAAACAATATACACTTTTTGTGCTTAAGAGCACTTCAAATATTTAAAGCAGCTTCCTTCTTGAATCATTTACAAAGACTTAAGACTTAAAATTGGATATGTTCTAAGAATAAATAGTTATTGTGGATAAATATGATTTGTTTTAAAAGCTGATATTAGGCTCATAATAGCTCAAGTGTGTTATGTTAGCACATTACAGCAAAATTCAGTTAAGAAGTTTAAGTAGCACAAGTTTATTGCTAAAGCGTTGAAGAAATTAAGCATATGCGATAGAGATCAGTGAAGCAGCAGGGACAAGCATTTCACAGCATTACTTTCTCGCACATACAGAGAACTTCTGTTTCTTTTAGGCAGTGAATTGTTCCCTCAGCGATTTAAAAGCAAAACCCAAACCCTCTCCAAATTCAAAAGAAGCACTCATTGTTTTC